TGTGGGGGTGGGGGGGGTGAGTTTAGAAGCAAAAACCACAAAATTATCATCATCATATGTTTTACCAAGTGTGGCATTAAAATATAGGCGTGAGATAATATCGCAAATATGCTCTTAACATTTGAGGAATTAACACCTACATGCTAATAAATCTCTGACAAGACCTGTAAGCCTTCTGCTGTAGATTTAAGTCGGTTGACACCACAAACTCCACGTTCCAGTGCGTTTGGCCTCTGGAATGCACTGGAACGCAAGCCGGCTGGATCCCTGCATTCAGGGACAGGAGGGGGCGTGGCGGTGCATTGAAGTCAATGGCACCGCAGCCATGCCTCCCGCCCGCAGTGTGATCGCCCGCACCCGGAAAACACAGGCACATAAGTGCCTGCGTTCCAGTCCAGTGCATTCTGCAAAAATACTGCAAGCACTATTTTTGCAGAACGCACTGGACCATTGACTTGACCGCTATGCCCCCTCCTGCCCCTGAACACAGGGAGCCAGCCGGCTTGCGTTCCAGTGCGTTCCAGAGGCCGAACGCACTGGAACGCAAAGTTTGTAGTGTGAGCCGGTCCTGAATCAAACGGTCAGCTCACGAACCATTAAGGAATCCTCACAGACCGTGCGATTATGACTTGCAAGGGAAAGCAAGGTCTTTACAAACTGTGGGTCGGCACTGTCTGGGAACCACCACTTATTTTTCTGGTCATTCTTTATAATTAAATAAAATTGCTAAATTCATCTCTAATGATATCCAAAATATTAATCGTATGGAGATGAAAATATTTCCTTCTAATAGTTCATATTAGGAGCTAGCTACCTGCAGATGCAAAATGGTATGACCTGTCCTTATAGAACTCCCTAGTGACCATCAAAGTGGCTGAATGGTCTTCATGGTCCATATACCCTACATGTTAGGAGGCAAGAACTGCACACCAGGAGAGCTTGGTTGTATGTTCACCATTAATCTGTATGAACTCACATTGTGTGGATGCTGATTTTATGCAGATTGGTGTCAAGAAACTGAAGCTATCATATATGTCAGACAGGGCAGTACGTCAGCAGAGGGAATCTCAGAAGTGTGTGGGAATTACCTAGCTGCTTCATAACCATTGGATTGCACAAGATTGTAGGCAATATTTGTATCTGGCTATGTCTGTCCAGACAGCTAGATTTGGCTGAGTCACTCTCCAGGGTGTTGCCAGTGATTTTGAAGGCTGTGATAACTGTTTTATCTCCCTAAAGGAAGCTCTCTCTTCATTCCTCCTTGACCAAACAAGGGATCTCGCTTCAGTTAGCGAGGTGCCATGGGCATGATTCCTTGGCACCAAGCAATATAAATTGCTTGGATTTTTTGGCAAGTGACCTTTCTTGCTATAGTAGGGTTCATACTGGCAGACATAATTATGTAGATAAATAAAAATTGGTCATGTAATTCATCTTGTAACTTGCAGAGCTTCATATGTGAACATACTGAATTTTATGAATATGTACAATCTAACTTCTTTTGATGTAGTGAAATGCAGAGATATGCAGTTGCACCATATATGATTGTAATGGAAATGCTAAAAGGCTCAAATCTTTTCTATCTGATCAGTAAGTATAAGTGAAAGCACAAACTATTGGGCAGTGCAACAATAAAGTGTGACTCCCCTTCCTGAAACAAGATGGGTGATAACATGTGGGAAGGGGTTGGCATGGTTGAAAACCCATTTGTAGATCTTTTGCCACTAGAATCCCTGATTTTAGAAACCAGTATTTATGATCCATCCGTAAATAAAATATATTTATTTACTGCCTAAAAGCTAAAAAATTAAATAATAGATATGTGTGTGTGTGTGTGTGTGTGTGTGTATATATATATATTATATACAGTGAGGGGAATTTATCGAAACTGGAGCAGCTGTGCATGACAACCAATCAGCTTCTCTCTTCAGTTTGTTCAGTTAAGATTTGAAAATGTAAAATAGAAGCTGATTGGTTACCATGCACAGCTGCTCCAGAATTTGTCTACTTCAGTTTTGATAATTGCCTTCTATATATCCAAAGTAGGTATAGAGGCACTCACGGGCATTCTTCCAGTGGAGATAAGTCAAAGGCATTGCACATGTCTTGATAAAGGCGAACTGAGCTCTGTCGAAATGTTGACCATAAAATGCTGATGCTTTGACTTATTATTATTTACTTATGATTATTATTGCCTTACGTGGGGAAATACTATTAAGGCTACATTCACACTATGTGTGAATGTGCAATTTAGGATTCCTGCCACAAGAATCCCAAATCTCCCGTTTAGATGCGGCTGCTGTACCCTTACAAATTAATGACCAGGTGACAGTGGACTGCCGGTTACAGGTGTGACAGTGGCTACATCTGTAAGCGGCAGTCCACATTTATATATTATAGATATTTATATAGCGCCAACAATTTATGCAGCGCTTTTCAGGATTCAAACCAGGCACCCTGAGTGGCACAAGGCAGAAGCGCTAACCACTATGCCATTGTGCTGCCCACATGTAATCATATATGATACTGTTACATGCGGTTTGGAATAGATCACTACTATGTGTCCAGGGACAGTGACCGCATGTAATCGTATCACATACGATTACATGCAGAGTGCCGGCAGACTGCCACTTATAGATGACAGGTGCCACTTCTAAATGGGAGATTTGGGATTCCTGTTGCAGAAATTGCAAATCGCACATGCACACATAATGTGAATGTAGCCTAGTTATCAAGAGTTATTAACAACAAATCCCCACAGGCAGCAATGAAAAATGATCACTAATGCCCCGGGGGGTAGAATAATATCACTCCCTGGGAAATTTGCCTCTCTCTAAAAATTGTCTATCTCTCTCTCTTGAGTTCAGGTAAGCCTTGGCTCCCACGTCACTGCAACCTCCAGATTCTCTGTGCGGGCCGTATACCTTTTCTTTCCCAAGACCCAATGGCTACTAGAAAGTCAATCCACAGTGCTGGGGCATATTGATATCTGATGTACTGGGGCGGCCCGTGCCGCCTGCTGGCACTATAACTTAATCATCGGGAGCCGCAGCTCCCGATATTACTCTGCGGTGCTTTGCCGCCGAAAGTGATAATTTAGTCCCCTGTCTCCCCAGGCTCTGAGAGCAGACCGGGACCTGGTGGTGCAGTGGTGTCACCCCCTGGCGTGTGTCACCCGGGTGCAGTGGGCAATCCCCGCACCCCCTATGTGACACAGCTGATTGGATGGTGATAGTTACTGCTCTTAGCAAATATATTTTTATTATATTGCCTCACTAAAGCAGCTTGACTTCAGTACAAGGATTAAACAGGTACAGAATACTAAAACAAGACATTTTTTTTGCTATTTAATTCTGGTCTCATTTTGATTATTGACAGATGAGCAGATTCAAAATCTATCACTGTGGATTACACCTTTTATATACTACTTTTGTTTAGACCATAAAAAGGTGTGCAAGCAGTAGTGTACTGAATGCAGGAACCAATACCAGCCATTCAAAATAGTTTATCAACTTTCAGAGATAGGAGGATAGCAATCTAAAGTTTTGGTGCCTGTGCTTCCAGCACTTGTTCTCATTGCTCTTTGTACTACATTATTAAATAAGTCTATGGTAACCATAGTTCCTGTGCAACATTAAGTAAATAAAAAGGTCCGCTTCATACCCTGGGGTTGCAAAGATTGGACATTGCAAAGTTTGGTTCATTACTTTCTCCATTTCAAAGTTCTGACATCAAGGGTCTGGTAATTGCTAAGGGAACCATCAACACATTGCATGGTTTTCCCTGTTTTCTAGTCACATTTGTGTTTTTTATTCTTAACAGCAACAGCAGGAAATCCTTCTTCTGTTTTAGAGTTTAATAATGGCAATTATGTGTTAGTCATGTCAGTCTGGGAACATCTGTAGTGCAGAGGGCAAAGTAGATTTCCCCTTCATTTCCTAAAGTGAACCTAATTGAATCTAAAATATTTAAAAGGTAATGACACTGATGTGTAGCGGCCAAGCACCCGTGTTAGTCCTTAAAGCTCTGCATGCTGATATGAAATCATCTCACATTCATCGTTTAAAGCTGGCCATATGCATATAGATTTTCTGCAGATTTTCTATGGTCAGAAAAAGAGCAACATATTCCTCCATCTACACTAAACTGTGTGGATGGAGGAATCTTCCACTGGGCCAAGCTTCAGTATCTTGCAAGTCTGCCCCGCTGGCTGTCATAATACCTGAACAATCTGATTGGATGCAGGCATTGTTCAGGTATTTTGAGAGCCAGTGGGGCCGACTAGCATGATACCGAAGCTTGGCCCAGCGGGAGATTTCCCCATCCACGCAGTGTAGCATAGATGGAGGAATGTTGTTTTTCCATCTGGCCATAGAAAATATATAGGTGTATGGCCAGCTAAACAAACAAATTTTTCTTTCTTACAATGATTGTTCTTCCACTTTTTGGTCCACTTGGGCATTAGTGATGTAATGTGCCCAAGTGTTGCATTCTGGGAAGGTTACATCAGCAGAGCATTGCTGGGAAATCTCATCTGTAATCTCATGAGATCTAAGGGAAAGACATTTTCCTCCCCTGAGATGATGTGCATGCTCACCAGTCCTATTTAAATGTGCCAGAGTTCCAGGAAGTAAAGGGAGATCTAGTAGCCTGCCCTCAGTAAAAATGGCCACTGTGAGAGGAATGGGGAGTAAAAGAAAAATGTATGCAAAGAAAAAGTTATGCAAAGAATAAAACGCCTGCAATTATATGTAAGTATATGTTTGTAGATTGTCATTACTAAACATTTCTAAATTTGTATTCGTTGTCATTTCAAAGATATGTGTACATTTCCACTTTAAAGCATATCTAGCGTTAGAGCTTTAAGTTGCTTGAGGACTCTTCCTGGCTCTGTATGATGATTTTGGTGCCTGAGTTAAGTGTTCTTACCAAAACATGGTTGCCATGGAATAAGGAAAGGTTTTTTTACAGTCTGATAAATACCATTGTCATCAGCAGAGCATTGCATACTTCAAAATATATCAATTAGGCTTCATTTTTCATTATACAAATTAAAAATGGCAGATGGTAGGTTTTCTGTTGCCTAATTAATAACACTCAAATCTTTAATATAACGTTATTAATATAAATTATTACCCTGTGGACATTTGTAGACATTTAAATCAAAAGGATTTGCTCAGAAACACTAACCTGATACTTTGAAGTGAATCCTAATTATGTGACTTACTGTGAGAATAATTGCATTGTGTTATTTGCATTATTACCTGCAGTATTACTAAATGCTTGGCATATATATAAGATCTACGTAACTTTGATAAGCCACATGGCAGAATATTACTAATGACAGATTAATTTCTATCTCCCAGGAAACTGTGGATAAATGTGTGTTCAAAAGGTGTACTGTCATTTATTTATATTCTTCCATTGGATCTTTTCTGTAATTGTTTGAACGTATGTACTGCGTTTGTTCTCCCAGTTGTGTAGCAGTATAGAATAAGTCTATCATTATGTGACAGTGATATATTCTATCGTGTGGTGCTTTGTGTTGATCATTTGAAAGAATTGCGACAGGCTAAGTACACAATTGGATCTGCCAAAAAGGTGTGAGATTACTGTTATGGATTGATGAGATCTTATGGAAACAGAAAATTGTTTAACTGGCTTTTCTTGATGGAAAGGGTGGTCATGGGATCCCACTGCAACTGCTAGGAAGATACCAAACCCAATTTTATTTACAGCAGTCAGGTCTGAAGGAACTGCTATGGATTGTTGCACGAGAGACATTTACCCCATACACCTGTGGTTTTTGTTATGTCCCTGGGTGTGGATGAAATGAAGATGCAAACTTCTATTAAAGGAGTTCTAAAGTCCCAGCATATACTATCCTGTTAAATCATCAGCATTGTAATAGGAATACATACTAGAATTGTTTTTGCAATCAAAGCTTACTTGATAAAAATCAATTTTATGTAGTAAGTGCCGCTTTCCATCTGCCCATCACTTTCAACAACTTCCTGGATTCCCAGTGTGCTTTACATCTCTTTCCCTGCTGCTTGATGTAATGCAATCTCAACTACATATCCCATCATGCATTGTTTTCAGCAAGCAATCATAATGTTACAATGTTCAGATGTTGAGTTGTAATTCAGAAGTAAGGCTTGTGGCAAGATAAGTGCACATTCACAGGGCTGAGTGAAATTGTGTTCATTGTGTCCGTGCATTGAGAAAGTCCATCCTATGGGCATCTTCAATAAGTAAGTTTACAAATTTCTAGATCGCTATGATTAAGAGCGGGATAGAACTTATAAAAATTCAATGTAGAAATAGATATTTAAGTTTTGTACCATAGATACTAGGGATTTTCAGATACCAAGTACCGTACTCCGTACAAGTACAAGTACAGATACTTTAAAACAGGGATGTACAAATCCCAGGAGCTCCGTATGCTCCTTAAAAATGACAGCTGCCTCCTAACGTTTCAGTTTTTCTCTAGTCTAGTCTTGGAGTTGGGAAAGTATCTGTAGTTGTACTTGTACTGAATACGGTACTTGGTATCTGAACATCCCTAAAAAATACAATTAAGTATTTTTCAGGTAAGTCAGGTAAACATGACACTTTACATATAAAGTGCAGTTCTTGGTTCATTTTCACATCTCTCCTTATCGTCTGTGTTGAAAAAAAAAGCTCAACTCACTGGATAAATTACAGGGACTTGTTCTACTCCCCTCAGACACAGCTGTATCAAGTTTCAACCAAAGACATCTTTTTATAAATGTTTGCACACACAACTAACACAACTTTTACCCAAGATGCATACATTTTCTACCTTAATTCAGTTTGAAAACCTTGTGAATCCTGTGTGAATATTGTATGAAAACATTTATAAATAGTCTGAAAGGGACTTTTGTTTGCTCTCCCTTTGAAAAACCCTTAATGGTCTTGCGAATCCTGTGCTTGTGAATGAATGACATTTTTAAAGTAATCTAAATCTGACATTTTGCTTTTGGTAGATGCTGGAGAGTTAAGCTGGGTATACACATGTCAAATTTCGGCCGTGGGTGCGTTCTCGGGTCCTTTCCGCCTGGCATCCCTTAATCAGCTGATTGAGGGAGCTGGTTGGAAAACATTTTCAGCTGCTAGCTCTGTTTGGGGGTCCTGACAGGCACCACTGGAGCAATCTGTTCTTTCTCTTTCGTTCATACACCTGTGTATACCCAGGTTTAGGCCACGCCCCAACATCTGTTATCTATGGAGGACTTTGGTGGTTAGGTGATTGTACTTGGTTTCACAGTCATTGATAGGAAACTCATTCTTCCTGTTAGACTTTTCACTCAAAATTTATCATGGCGAATGCAGCAGAAAAAGTGGGGAGCTGCAAAAGGGAAGCCCTTACATGGAAAAAAATGGATTAGGTCAGCTGGCCAGCACCTTCCAAAAACTGGATTACTGCTTGTGGGAAGATTGAACCTATAAAACTTGACAACTCTGACACCTAGGAATTAGGGTCCTGGTGTCCAACCTGAGGCCCTTTGGTACTTATGATGCAGCACTCAGGCCCACGCAGCTGCAGCACTGATTTGTGAAGGGGTCTGTAATGGCAGTGATCTCTAGCAGTCTCATATAATATACCCCTTGTTTCTAACAGTCTTCTGCATTCTATTTGCAGCCTTTAACTATACCTGAAACATGTTACCTGTTTCTATCATCTCCAGCAGAGTATTAACAGTCTCTGAAACATTCTCTGTAGTACTACATATACTGAATAATAGGGGGACATAAGGGGCCTCAGCTAAAGGCCGCCTTAATCTAGTAGACTACCACTGGGTTAAAGTGAGTAGTGGGGAAAAACATGAAATGTTCTTGCAGTGGAATGAATTTTATATTCCTGTTAGTTGTACCTTGAAATGGCATGTCCATACATTGCATTTGCTGATGCAGTATCTTTTATTTATTTTTTCAGGTTTCCTTTGCAAGATACTGTGCTTTGGCAAACTGTTCTGCTGATTTACAGATCTCCGGAAAGGTTTCCTTCCCAGGGTGAGTTGAAATAAAGGAGATCTTATTCCAGAAATTGACTATTTTCTTGTTGGATTAACTTGACATTTCTTTTCAGCCGTACTAAAAAGCTTTTTATTACCTATTATTCTACCTTTGCTATAAGTGACATTTCATGAAGCTTCACTCTCCAAATACAGTGTTCCTCTACTCCTGTCCTCAAGACATATTTTCAGGATTGTCTTGTCTTTCTTTTAAAGCTTGGAGTTGATAAACACTGACCATATGGGATATGTGATAGATGACTAGGGCTGCGTTGACAGCTTTGGCCTGTATCTATCAATTCATGCATGGCATTTTATCGAAGACAGTTTGTCTGGCTGTCAGCCATTCTCTGTTCAGTTAGAAAAGAAGCAATCCTTCAGGAAAAAGCCTTTGACAGCAGAGAAGAGGAACGCTTGATGGTCATATAAAAGCCTAACATCAGCCATGTCTCTTTTAATTTTAAGCAAGGAGTGGGAAAGATTTTTGCACTGTTAGGTGTTTATTGGTGTGTCCCCACTGACAATGTTTACTTCCTGACCACTGTCACCTCTCCATTGAGATGGGAGCAAAAAAAGCACCTTTAATAGTAAAGCAGAGAAGGATGGCTGTTTTTTACTGTTGGTGTTTTCTTCCCCCAATGATAACCATTGCCCTCATTTCTTGTTCTGGTGTCACAAGGACAGGAAGTTAGAAATGGTAGTGAAAACCTGACATTGGGTCTAACCCTTCCCCACTTTAAATCTAAAACAAAAGAAAAAGGGTTTGACTTAAATTAAGTTTTAACAGGTCCATCTGGCCATAGTGTTTGCTACATATTAATATTAACCACTTCAGCTCTCACACCTGCACATTCCCTTATGGACCAGAGCAATTTTTCATTTCTGTTAGGGGTCTGTTTATTCAGCAACAACTTGTCTTTACTTAAATGATTCTTAATCCCTCATGTTATTTTTTCATATATCTACTGCTAGCAAGCAGTAGATAATGCAAAAACATTAAAGTTAACAAAAAGGTTTAAACTTACCTGTGTCTCTGCCGCGCGCTCCTGTCCGAAGACCTGAAGATTCTCGGGAGGCCGCAAAAGATCATGGGGTGCGCGCATCTTCGGTCGGGAGACAAGGAGAGACGCAAGGTAAGTCAACGGAGGCAGCGTGCACCCGCAGAGACTCCGTGGGACAGGAAGTGCCAGGAAGAGAGAGGAGTCAGCGCTGGATCAGAGACCCAAGACAGTGTCCAGCATCTGGAAGTGCTCTTTAGGATCCCTCAAGAAACTCCATGCATTCTTCGATTGAATTTAATCCTCTTTTTGGCTTTTTGATGACATTATCACAGGTGCTGGAGGTATTCAGGCTGCTGAAGGTGGGAGGAGAGATCCAAGACGGCGCCCTGCATTTGGAAGTGCTCTTTAGGATCCCTTAGAAAAACTCCATGCAGGGCTGTACCTTTTAATGAGACAGTTGCCTCAGGCAGCATCTCTTTAGGCCAG